CTGTGAATTTTCAATTGTTTTTGTTCATATATTACAATATGTGTCTTCTAATATGATAAATAGTTTTTTAACTGTAAATATGGTGTTGTAACTGTTATTATAATCTGATTTGTTTATTTATGTAGTTGTTTTCCATGTAAATGTTTGAAATAGAGTTTTATTGTTAATTTTTATTTATTATTTCCAATTAAACTGTGAATTCTCCTTTTTTTTTGTTTTTTATTTATAATATTTGTATTTTTTGTTGATAAATGTTTTTTTTAAGTATAATTACAATCTTCTAACTGCTATTAACATGTGATTGTATTTGGTTATGTATAATATAAATGTAATTATACTGTGAATCTTCAATTGTTTTTGTTCATATATTACAATATGTGTCTTCTAATATGATAAAGTTTTTAACTGTAAATATGGTGTTGTAATGTTATTATAATCTGATTTGTTTATTTATGTACTTGTTTTCACATGTAAATGTTTGAAATAGAGTTTTTATTTGTTAATTTTATTTATTATTTCCAATTAAACTGTGAATTCTCTTTTTTTTTTTTTTTTTATTTATAATATTTGTATTTTTTTGTTGATAAATGTTTTTTTAGTATAATTACAACTTCTAACTGTTATTAACCTGTGAATGTATTTGGTTATGTATAATATAAATGTAATTATACTGTGAATTTTCAATTGTTTTTGTTCATATATATTAATATGTGTCTTCTAATATGATAAATAGTTTTTTAACTGTAAATATGGTGTTGTAACTGTTATTATAATATGATTTTGTTTATTTTATGTACTTGTTTTCACATGTAAATGTTTGAAATAGAGTTTTATTTGTTAATTTTATTTATTATTTCCAATTAAACTGTGAATTCTCTTTTTTTTGTTTTTTATTTATAATATTTGTATTTTTTGTTGATAAATGTTTTTTTAAGTATGATTACCATCTTCTAACTGTTATTAACCTGTGAATGTATTTGGTTATGTATAATATAAATGTAATTATACTGTGAATTTTCAATTGTTTTTGTTCATATATTACGTAATGATAAGGAGCTATTATATGAGAAATTAAATAATTAATCATTTATTTGTATATAGTTTTTAAAGTACCTTGAACTTCTTGTTCCTTTTCCTTTTTCTTCATTTTCTGCTTTTTCTTCTTGTCACAACTTATCTTCTTCAAATTCACAAGTTAACAGAAAATCACAGTTTAATCATGAAAATATAATTAAGAAACTTTTTGTAATTGTACCTTGATTTTTTGATGTTGGTTAGGTGTTGCAAACATGTTTGTCTTGTTGTCCCTTGAAGATATTTATCTTTCTGTTTGATTTTTTGTCAAAATGCTTTTACCTTATCTGAAAATGTAAGTAATAGGAAAATGAAATTTTATGATTTTAAAAAAATCACAGTTTTAAACCATTATTCATTATGCACAATTGAATACCGTTATCTTAAATTTATAAATCTATAAAATCATAATAATATTCATACATTGATAAACTTCAACATTCATAATTCAAAATTATTATTACAATGCCAGTTTAAAACTATTTTTATATTCAAATCTATAAAATCTCAAATTCACAATTTAACACAGTGATACTTTTTAAAAAAAATTACGTTATAACATAATAATCATCTAATATTTTTTCATTTTTGCAAGTTTTTTGAATTTATTTAGTTTTTATACTGTATTTAGGGTTTTACCTTTTTTTATGACGGTTGCTTTGTTTGTATGTTGAGATTCGTCTGTTGAAATCATCCTCTTCAATGTTTGTTCTTTTTCAGACGTAGTTTTGATCGTTGTGAATTGAGCTTCTTCAGCTGAAATATTCGTCGTCATTCCTTCATCAGTTGAATTATCTGTCGATTTTTTTTCCAAAATCTATTGTTTACGCCTTTTTGTCATCGTATTGAATAGATTTCTGTAGAATTCTCGTTCGATTATTCCAAATCAGTAGAATAGAACGAAGATCGTGTTTGCAGTGAATTGAATGAGGAGTTGTGTTTCGAAAAAGTCGTGAATTTAATTAGGGTTTTGATTTGTTCCGACATATTAAAGAATCGGGTAATATGTTTTGAATATTCATGAAATTGCCACAGTGTTTTTTTGCTTAAATGATACATAGTAAACCTTCTATTTCATGAGAATTACAGCTTATGCCATTCCGCGTTTTGACAAGAATTTCCCTTAATTAGTTGGTTCTTAGGTTCTTAATCTTTTTTGGTTCTCATTTGAACCTTTACCTCTATATATATATATATATATATATATATATATATATATATATATATATATTATCCGTTACATCTTCACCTTGTCTTTGGTGGATGTTGTTTTAAATTTTCCTTGGGTTGATCATCACGTATGAAGTATGGTGCGAGCAGTGGCGGATCCAGAACCAAATCTAACTGGGGTCCAAAAAATACAAAAATTATAAAATTCTGAAAATTTAATGTTTTTTTTGGGTTTTTGAAGTAAAAAAAATCTTCAAAGAGGGTATTTAATGTAAAAGTGGGTGCCAAAAGGGGATTTTTCGTAAAAATTAGATTTTTGGAGGGCTATTTAGTAGTAAAAATTGTGGGGCGCACCTCCAAGTGGGGTCCATGCACCCCACTTAAAGGGCCTAGATCCGCTACTGGGTGCGAGACGGGAGTGATTTGGTCTGAGTAGTGTCGGGAACAGTATTCTGAAGCTTTTTATTTGTCTTTATTCTATGTACATAGTTACATACATAACGGCATGTGATGAATGTGTGTTCTCTTATTTTCTTTTTATTTTCTTTAATAATAATAATAATAATAATAATAATAATAATAATACATTACATGATATAAACACTTATTTCCATTAAACCACACCGCATTCCTCACGTTTCTCTCATTTTTCTAACATTTTTTTTATTTTCACACCAAGAATATAAATTCAAAATGCTCGACATCAAGCAAAAGAAAAATGTAAGTGTTATGGGTTCATAACAACCACAGTCAATTCCTGACAATCAATTCTAACAATACTCACAATATCAAAACAAATTCCCTCAATATTCAATGTGAGCAAATCGCCTCCTGAGAGAGCAACTGTGAAACCATAGAAAATCACAAGGAGATGGAGAAGAAGGAACAAAAAAACATAGAAAAATGGAGATGCGCATGAGCTTGATCGAACCTGTAAGTAGAAAATAGAGATTTGCTCGAGTTCTAAAAGCCTTAAACGAATGAGAAATGGAGATGGAGGCGTTAATGAACTGGTGTTAAAGGGTTAGGTTAAACACGGATGGTGAAGTGGGGAGACGAATCCTGAGACAAGCTAATCGATGAGCAACAGAGAAGATCTGAGACAGGAGACGACCAAGGGGAAAAGGATTCTCAGATCATAACCCTATGGGGATGACCTATCGTCCCTATAACCACAAACAAACGATGTCATTTTCTTATTTTCCAACTAAATAGATTAATATATATATATATCTAGATATATATATATATATATATATATATATATTTAATATATATATATTATATATAGATATATATATATATATATATATATTGGGCATAGAAAGCTACGGGGACTATAAGTCGTCCCTATATTTATCCCAAAAAGCTTAATTTCCGATTAAAAAAATGTTATTTTCAATTTTTGTTATTTATTAGAGCGATAGGTCGTCTCTATAGGTGTTTCAAGAACGCGTCAAACCCATATCTTTTCCAGCTTAACATGTTGAGACAAGAAGTCGTCCTTGTATCTTCAAGAGTCAATAAAAAATTGTCAACTCTATGCCGACGATAGGTCGTCCCTATAGGGAGCCTATAGCGACGACAAATGTCGTCCCTGTAGGTGTTTATTCTTGTAGTGGATGTTGATTGAACCATGAATTGAAGCCAAGAATACCAAATAACTTTAAATATCTTCAAAACCGCAAAAAGTTTCAAAATTTCTCTTTCGTATCGCTACAAAAACAAGATCAAGACAGACAGACATTGATAGATACCATGGGTTCCAAACTTATAAGAAAAACTCAATCTTATAACTTCGAGTTTAGACGTTGTACTTTATGTCTTCGATTGTTCATATGTAGGATTTAAGTCCACCAGAGCAGGCAACAAAATGCAAAACAAATTGGAGGATTTACCCAATAAGCAATTGGTTTGTCGAGGGTGAAAGCAGTCACTCTTATTCATGATCTAGGGCTCATGCTTTATCTATTTTCCTCCGAACAAGATTTTTGTTTGAGTAAATTGCATATTTGGTCCGTTTTATGGTTTTTCTTAATAAATTTAACTTTTTTCAGTTGTAACATTGACGACCTTTACAATTTAATTTTGGCCTTTATCATACGTAAAATGATTAAGGTTCCATTAGGGATGACTGTTGACTGAAGAACCGAAATTAGACCTTATAGGGGTATTCCGTTCGGTTATCGGTTCTTCAAAATTTCATTATTTAGTTTCAAACTCAGCACTTTATAAAAAAAAAATCAATACATTCAACAAATAAGCATTTCAAAGATAAACATTGTTAATTGCTAAAACATCATCAAACTCATCAAGATTAATTCTACAACTTCAATGCATATGCCCTAAATCCAAACTTCAAAGTCAATATCAAAGCCCAAACAACAACTCATAAATGATGGGTAAAATAAGGTATGTGTATAATTAGAATAAAGCACACTAAACATTGCTATCCAATAACGATATGTTTGCAACACGAAACATACATAATACAACAAAAACATGAAATAATAAAACAAATGACCCAACCCACACAGACATGTCGGTTAACTAACACCACTTTAGATTGAAGTGAGGAGCCGACCCGTCTAGAAAGCTTCTGGGAATTTGTTAAGGGTTTCCCATTTTTGATGACAGAGTCTTTCTCATTTGAATATGTTTCAGGTAATGAGGCCAATACGGGTTCCGGTTCAGTCTTCTTATTACAAAACAAACATGAAAAAAAAAAAAAAAAGACATGACCCAACCCACAATAACTAACGCCACTTTAGATTGAAGATCATGTAGACACTAGAAGCCAGAAGGCTTGTGTGGGAATTTGTTAGGGTTTCCCATTTTTGATAACGATCCCTTCTTATTCGAACATGTTCCAGGTAATGAGGCCAATATGGGGTGGTATTCTTCTCCAAGACCTCCCTCAGCATGAGTCTGCAAAAGTGATTATTTTGTCTGAAGTACGAGTCTGGCTTTGCATATACATACTTGGGATGGCAAATCTCAAAGAATGCATCAAAAAATAGGGATCGTTCCCACAGGCATTCATCATCTACTGTTCCAAACCACAGATGTTGCACGTTCATAGCAGGAGGAAACAAGAGGAGCCTTGTTCTTAGATCATCCATGTCGATGTTGTCGAATGGCAACATAGTAGTAGTATAGTTGTAAGTTATTATATAAATGTCGCACTTGCATGATAACGCGAGTGCTTCCCTCATCTTAAGAAAAAAATACACATCAACAGGAAGGCTGAGACTGAGTGAAAAGATTTGCTTGAAGAGAGTACTAGAGACAGGAAACAAGAGAGTAGGCAATGCGGCCCCACCGAACCAGAAAAAATTTAATTTTGGAGCATGAACTTGTATGTCCGTAAGCATGCGTTGGCAATCCCGCAGGGTCAAATTCTTGATGGAAGCACATGTGAAATGGAAGCTTTCCGACTTCCAAGATCTCATATCATCAAGTGTTAAACTCTCAAGAAAAGGAAATCCCGATTCGATCATTTTCAGACACGCGTTGCCAGTTACCATACCATAACCACCTAGGGTTAACTCTGTCACGCTGCTTCCTAATGATATTGAATGCGGGGCAGGGGCTTTGAATAGAAAAGGTAGATCGCAGGTAAACACGCCGAGATTTGGGACATGACTGATTTCCAAAGCAGTATTATGAACATCTTGTGAAGAAGAAGATATTGTCAATTCATAAAGACAAGGGAGGTTTTAACCTTGATGGTTTTGAACCCCTTGCAAGAATGTATAAGCACAATCTTCTCAAGCCGGCTACAAGACGACAATATGTCATGGAGTGCCTCTTCACCTATGCACACACCATCCAATTGCAGCTCTCGTAGGGACACACAGTTGATCACAGGAGTAGGAGTAGTCGTTGTCATCCAAATAACAGAATGGTGCCTCAGCGGGGATGAAACGTCTATCTTACTCAGGTTTTCACCCGACGAGAGTATCTCATCTGGCAATGTAAACGGGGCACCATAAAGGAAGAGTGAGAGGGATAACTCTTTGAGACAAGAAGCTTTGGTAGTTACCACAGGACCAATCCATTTTTTCAGCATGAGAAGCTGACTCCTGGTTCTCAATGTCGATAAGAAGCTCAAACCTTTCAATTGGTATGTTGTCACGGAGATACCTTATCAGAGTGTGGTCCACATCCACCAACTTCATGCCGTTTCCATTTTGTTCGCTGCGAACACGAAACCTGAGGATAGGAATAGTATGCCAAGCGTGTAGCCATGACTTGGACAACACGCTCGTGCGGGCCGCTTCTGTTATCGGCAACCGTGATTGTATGTGCTGCATCAACTCCACAACATCTTCTACTTCTCGTCTCATCCCTTCAAACCCATGCATAAATAAATCATAATATAACAACACATCATCAGATCATCTTATCTCATGATACATATAACAGAGTATGAAATCACCAAAAACCAAAATAACCTACTTACTACATACACTTCGTTTCAGTCACTAAAACCAAACAAAAACTCATATACAGTCTAGTGTATGCTTTACCTACTCACAAACATATTCATATTTAGGGAAGCTGTAGCAGCCAGCCAAAAGAGTTAAAAACAGATTTAGGGGCTTTCACTCAACTACAAACACACAACTTGAAATCATGTTCAGCTCAGTGTAGTGTATGCTTTACCTACTACTAACAAACATATTCATATTTAGGGGTTTTGACTCAACTACAAACACACAACTTGAAATCATGTTCAGCTGCTCAATTACACGAATACGGTGGGTATGAAACAACACCATCCAAAAAGCCCTAAAACGGATTACCTGGGTAAGCCCAGACTCATTTACCAAATACCAAAACCACAAAAAGTTTCAAAATTTCTTTACGTATCTGTTCAAAACCACAAAAGGTTTCGAAATTTCTCTTCGTAACAAGAGTTTCGGAATTTCTCATCGTGTAGGTTCAAAACCACAAAAAGTTTCAAAATTTCTCTTCGTATCGGTACAAACAAAATCAAGACAGACAAACATCATTGAGAATTCCAAACTTATAAGAAAAACCCAATCTTGTAATTTCGAGTTTAGTCGCTCGCCGTAGTTTATGCCTCCAATTACATCCACCAAACCAGCCAACAAGATGCAAAACAAATTGGAGGATTTACCTGATAAGCAGCAGCCGGTTCGTCGAGGGCCAGAGCAATCACTGTTATTCAAGATCTAGGGCTACTATCAATAATCAGGATTGTAGTCGTAGAGTAAATATGGTTTTATAGTTTTTCTTAATCAAGTTATTATTATTATTATTATTATTTTTAAATTCAGTTATTTGTTGTTTTCGAAATATAAATGGAACTAGGTCTCCTTCTCGTGATAAAATATACACGAATGAACATGTCAACTAGGGTATTTACGGTTCGGTTTGAAACCGTAAAACCAGTCAAACCGGTCATCTGTTTCGTTTTGCGGTTTGTATTTCTTTTTACGGTTTAGTTTGCGGTTGCAAACTTTTCAAACCATAATGAGCGGTTTGGTTTACTGTTTCAAATTTTTCAAGTCGTATAAAATCGGAACGGACCGTAGGATTTATATATATAAATTATTTTTTTAATGGATTTGTATTTTGTTTTATTATATATTATTTTTTTATATATAAATAATAAAAATTTAAAACCTACAAACTCATTTAATTACCCACCCCAATCCTTTGAAACCGTAAAACCAGTCAAATCGGTCATCTGTTTCGTTTTACGGTTTGTATCTCTTTTTACGGTTTAGTTTGCAGTTTCAAAATTTTCAAACCGTAATAAACGGTTTGGTTTTACGGTTTCAAATTTTTCAAGTCGTATAAAATCGGAAAGGACCGTAGGATTTATATATATAAATTATTTTTTTTAAATGGATTTGTATTTTGTTTTATTATATATTATTTTTTATATATAAATAATAAAAATTTAAAACATACAAACTTTAATATATATAAATTATTTTTTTTAAATGGATTTGTATTTTGTTTTATTATATATTATTTTTTATATATAAATAATAAAAATTTAAAACATACAAACTCATTTAATTACCCACCCCAATCCTTTGTGTTGTGAATTGTGAAGTGAAGCCTAAGTGCCCAACCCTCCAGACGTATGTCACGTAACCTTAGTCTCAATCGATTCTTCCATTCCATCCATTAACCAATTTGCATTCTCCCTTTCCACTTTCCAATTTACATACTTCGACACTTAGTTGTTCATTTAATTTCGTTGGCAGGAAAGCACCGAAGAGACAACTCTATTGTGTTAAAAACAACGAATGAATCAATTGATTAAGTAAAATCAACAAAAGACACAAAGATCTAAATAAAATTTGATTGGCTCAATTTCACGTCTGAAGAGTATAGAGAGTAAGAGTACAAAGTATGATGAAAGTGTTCGAACCAATGCTCTGACCTAAGTACTTACCCTATTTATAGGGTACAACAGACGTACAAAAAATACAAAGACTATACATGACGTAACGAAACTATAATGCATTGTAAATAGATAACATGCCTAAAGTACTCTGCTTTCGATACTTACAGACACATAACGAAAGACACAGCTTTTAACTTTCACTATCTACTTTCGACCCTACAATCTCCCCCTTAGTGAGAACAGTCGAAACTTCAAGCTATCATCTTCAATTTCTGCAAAAGCTCCCTACGAATCTCCATATACCATAGAATGATCTTTCTAATCTCTACTTTGTCTTCATTATCATTCTTTTTGCAGTTGTTGAAGCGATTTAAGAGATTCATGTAATGAGAGTTCGTGTATCTCTAAATATCAGTTACTTGAAATAAAAACTTGGCCGACTTCCCCTTCTTATTCTTTCCTTGGAATACCATACCAAATGGTAGATGAATGATCTCACGATCTTCGAATTCATCAATGTTCATTCTTCCTTGCAGCAACGGTTGTGGCACTTTCGAAGTCTTGTTGATAGCTAAGGCAAGATCAATATCAGTGATAGCTAAATTTTCATAATAACTATCAAGAAATGCCATGATATGAGCAAACCCAAGAAAAAAAAGCATCATTGTTTGTCTCTGTAACTTTCGACACATCAACATTGCTCAGAATCTTTGTAACTATGATGAGATCATTTAAGTTCATCAAAGGAAAATTTGCCACTGTAAACTTGAACACCACGTTGTTTGCCTTCAGGACAATATAACGAAAATTTTGTAGCAGTCCTTCGAATAGTGTAACGTCCCATAAATAATGACAGAAAATTTTCGTTTTTAGATTAATAAATCGTTAATACATATCATTTCCATAAAACCAAGGTAATCAAGATTTAGCAAAACATCATCGAATCAGAGTAAATCACAGAATGCGGAAACATGTGGTGTGTGCTCTGCAATCATCCCGAGCTCTTCCATTTGAAAACCAAAGTACCTGAAACATAAACTGAAAATCGTAAACACAAAGCTTAATGAGTTCCCCAAGATAACTAATACCAAACATACATAAAATCACATAATGGGTCGTGTCCTTCATCAGGTCGCGCCCGACATTGGACCCCGTCCGGCATCGAGCCCTGCTAGGTAAACATATCTGTCAGTCATTAGGCCCCGCCTGACATCGGGCCCCGCCCGGTATAAGCATATAGACGTATAAACATATAAACACACAACACATGCCATAATCATAGAGATAAATAGCATACAGACTAGCCTTCGGGCCCCGCCCGATATCAGGTCGTACCTGGTAACATAAAAACACATACAATATACTCATTAGGCTCCGCTCGGTAAACATAAAACACATAACACATGCAAGAATCACGCAGACAACAAGCATACGAAGCATAACAAACCATGGGTCGACATTGGTGCCTTCAACCCTCTAAACATAGTGAGGAGACTCACCTCGCACTGCTGAATCATATAGAAAATCCCTGACCGCTGGTTGACAGATCCCCGAACTATCAACATCAAAACAACACCAAATCAACACTTGGGTCCCAATCCATATCCATAAATCCATACTCGGGGTAAAAAGACCATTTTACCCCTAACCTAGCTTGGTCAAATACTAAGGCCCAAACTCACAATCTAAAAGGCCCAAAAGCCAATTAATCAACCAAGGCCCAATTATGAACCAATTTTCCAAATTGGGCCCAACCTCCTTATATGAGCCTTACCCTAAAGCCCAACCATTCTACTTAGTCCAGAACACTTGTACTCAGATGGCCCATTAATAACTCAAACACCCAAGCCCAAAAGAAAGCCCAAACTTAAAGCCCAAAATGTAAAGTCCTCTTTGACTGAGTACACCTCGCGTACTTAGTGGGTACGCTAAGTGTACGCCCAAGAAACTCAGTACGCCTCGCATACGAGGAGGTACGCCCCGCGTACTGACCCTGCCCACAACTGACATAGAAAACGCCTTAATCCCTTAAGCTAAGACTTCCATTGCTCAGATCTAGATCCAAAACATGCCTTAATCCATAAAGTTGTTAACTTTGAGCTTTTGCATGGCTCAATGGGTCCCAAATCTAAGTTCTTACTTTCCAACTTCATCAAAAAGGCTAAACCACATGTATGCATTTATATCAACTATCAAGATCACATTTTTATGCATTTGGGACACCTAAAACGTCCAGATCTAGTGTCCAAACTCTTGGGGCAAGCTCAAAATCATAAATACAAAACAAAGGGACTAAAAACCACCCCAAACAAGTTCTAACCAAAGAGATGCCAAGATGAGAGCTTTTTACATTCAATAGATGGAAAAGGATGAAAAACTTCTGGATCTACAAGCCCCACTCCAAAAGATGATCCTTGAACAATATTCAACCTCTTCAAATGCTCGAGAACACTCCAAAATCATATACAAAAGCTTAAGAACTCCAAGATGGTGGTTAAGAGTCGAATATCAGGGTTTAGGAGGCCGATAAAGGTCAAGACTTATGAAGATAAGATTCTTAAATAGGGGTAAAACCCTAAAAATGAGGGTTTGGTGTTGAAGGGAGTACGCCCCGTGTAACGACCCAATTTTTCAAGGCCAAAAATTTCATTTTTAATTGAAAACTTTGCAAAACATTTGAAAATAAACAACATTCGATCATATCATTTCTTAAAACACGTTACGTGTCTGAAATCCAACATACAAAAACAACCATAATGTCAGAGTACAAAATCCCAGAATAGCTCATGATGCGGAAAACGATGTGTGTGTATGATGTGCCGCTACCGCGCCATCTCCTTCCCCTTCGATGAAGAGGTACCTGAAAACAAAACTGTAAACTGTAAGCACAAAGCTTAGTGAGTTCCCCCATAATGCCACATACCATACAATCATATGATGAACAACTAGGGGATACGGGCCTCGCCCACACCCATGGAGATACGGGCCTCGCCCACACTCCGCTAGCTAGGAGATACGGGCCTCGCCCACACTCCACTGTATGAGAGATACGGGCCTCGCCCACACTCCGCTATCTGAGAGATACGGGCCTCGCCCACACTCCGCTATCTGAGAGATACGGGCCTCGCCCACACTCCGCTATCCATGGAGATACGGGCCTCGCCCACACTCCGCTATCCATGGAGATACGGGCCTCGCCCACACTCCGCTACAAAACCTTAACATACAAGTATCACACAGACAACAAGTATAAGCAATTCTATCATACTGGCATATAACATAATCAAACTCAACTATGAGATATGGGCTCCGCCCACACTCCGATACTAACATATCGTCTATACGGGCCGGCCTTGGTGCCTTAGACCCGTCCCTACTGGAAGGAAAACTCACCTTGAAAAGTAGCTGCTGAAAGTCTGCTTGCTAGACGTCTGACTGCTACCCCGGTAATCCTCTGGCTATAAATCCATAAACATAGATTAGCCACTCATAAATACCCTTAGGTTAAATGACTGGCCTACCCCTGACCCAAGGTCAACTCCTTGGTCAAAGTCAACTCCCAGTTGACTGGACTCGCCGAGTCCTGGCACAGACTCGCCGAGTCCCTTTCTCACCACTCCAGTCCTACTCATCAAGTCCCTTTTCCCACTCACTGAGTCACCCTAACTCGCTACTTGGGACGGTTAGACTGACTCGCGATCCGACTCGCCGAGTCCGAGAACGACTCGACGAGTCCCTACGAGCAGATCTCCTGCTCGCTTCCAGATCCTTATCAGAGCATCCATCTTGAGGATTTGGGTTTTCTGGGACTATTGCTACACGTTAAATTGCTAATTCCACGTGCAGTTACGAAGGGTTGGACCTTCTTCACTTAAACCCTTCTTATCCTAGTAACGGTTCATATGACTCGCCGAGTTTGAAGAACAACTCGCCGAGTACCAGGCAATCTTCATAGGACTCGCCGAGTTGTTCATCCAACTCGTCGAGTCTAAGGCCATCTTCATGGAACTCGCCGAGTGCACTTTGGCACTCGTCGAGTCCCTTCGACCCTCCTCACATGCAGGCTAAATCTGAGACATGCAACGGTTCCAACCATAAATCTAAGCTCCTAGGGCATAAACACATGGAGTTTGGGGGTTCTAGGGCTTGCAAACTACATATTAGGGACAAAAAGGGAATCTATTGGACTAAAGATCAAGGTAGGAGCTTTCTTACCTGAATAGAGGCTTCTCCCAGAGTAGATTTCGGATCTACTTCCCTTCCTTGCACTCTCCAACCTCCTCCTTCTTCTTCTAAGCTCCAAACTTCCTTCACAAAGCCAAAATTATTCACAAGAACACTATGGGGGCTAGGTGTCGCTTTACAGCTCTCTGGAAGTGTTAAGGACAAGAGAGGCTGAGTTAGAGTGTCTAAATGGGGTGCAACACCCGAATTTGAGTTTTATGTCCAGACAGGGCCTACTCGCCGAGTCCAGGACCGGACTCGGCGAGTCCATCACTTAGACTCTGCGTCTCATCCCGCTTCTACTCGGCGAGTCGATCCTTTGACTCGCCGAGTCCAAGGCAAAAATGCAAAAATGATCAAAAATTTAAATAAAAGAATACGTACCAAGAACCAGGTGTTACAATCTCCCCCACTTATTCTATACTTCGTCCTCGAAGTCTGCTGCTCGATCCTGGAACAGCTCTGGGTAATGCTCCCTCATCTCATCCGTCGGCTCCTATGTCCATTCCGAGCCCTTCCGGTGCTGCCATTGCACCTTTACCAGCTCAAC